CCCTATTAATATCCCCTTTGTTATATCCATTCATCCACTTGTAAACCTCTATCATGTCACCCTTAACTCTTCACCTTTCCAGTGAATGCAACTTAGGCTTTGTTAATCTTTCTTCATGTGAAAGATTTCTAATTTGGGGAATTAACTTAGTCATCCTACGCTGGACACATTCAAGTGAATTTATATCCATTCTAGAGTACGGCGACCAAAACTGGACTGCATAATCTAAATGGGGCCTAACCAGAGCAAGATATTGTTCTGAAAAAAGCAAATTGAAAAAGCCTCCAGATCTTTAGCCCCTGCTATTGCATTGCTCTTCAACAAGTCACTTGAACTCCAAACCTTTCCTGACATTCTAAAAAAAGCGAGAGTAACGCCTGTCCACAAATGTGGTGATCACACAGATGTTAACAACTACAGACCTATATCAATCCTGCCAAACTTGTCAAAAATATTTGAAAAACTAATCTACAAGCAGCTTTACTCTTTTCTAGCCAAACACAATATACTTAGCTCTTGTCAATATGGCTTCAGACCCAAAAAAAGCACTAACGATGCACTTATTAGTATGATTAACTTGATTCACGGAGCTCTTGATAAAAAGGAGTTCCCTGTTGGGTTATTTGTGGACCTGCGTAAGGCTTTTGACACTGCCAACCACCAAAACCTTCTTCTTAAATTACATCATTATGGAGTCAGAGGTCACTCCCTGCAATACCTTCAGTCTTACCTTACTGACAGGCTCCAGTATGTTTCTGTGAATAATACAATTTCTCCCACCCTACCCATCAACATTGGTGTTCCTCAGGGCAGCATACTAGCTTGCCCTCTCCTCTTTCTCATCTACATTAATGACCTTCCAAATGCCTCCCAACACCTCAAACCAATTCTATTTGCTGACGACACAACCTTCATTTACTCCAGTCCTGATCCCCTTGCTCTAAATGCCACAGCAAATACTGAGCTAAATAAAGTCCATCTTTGGCTAACTGCCAACAAACTCACCCTTAACATTGACAAAACTTTCTATATTCTGTTTGGCAATAAATCCTCTAATCAAATAAATCTCAAAATAAACAATACCCAAATTTGTAACAAATTAGATGGCAAATTCCTTGGCATTCTCATTGACAACAAGCTGAATTTCCAGGGACACATTCTAAATATATCAAAAAAAGTTTCAAAAACTGTTGGCATTCTTTCTAAGATCAGATATTATGTACCCCGCCCTGCCCTGGTGACTCTATTACTCCCTTATCTATCCATATCTCACGTATGGTATTTGTGCTTGGGGCTCTACTACCCAAAATCATTTACGTCCTCTAATTACTCAACACAAAGCTGCTATTAGGACATGTTACGGACCCGAGCCCAGCGTCCGAGCACGGAGCAGTGACGACCGCGCCATCTGTGGATCAGCTCCCGAAACCCCCTCCAAATGGACGACGCCATCTAGTGAGGACGAGAAATACTGGCCACAAGGGCTAGTTTCCCGTCCTGATCAGCTCATGACACAGCCGCTGCTGACCTCTGGTGAGGTGACGCTTAGACAGCAACGCCATCTATGGAGTGGATAGGTGGGCGTTTGGGTCTAAGCCGGTAAGTGAGGTGCCCCAGAGTGGAACTAGTACTGATGACGTGTCTGATTACAGAGTCGACCTGGGACTGCTGTAATGGAAGTTGGATCAGTCTACCCAAGGCAGTCGAAGAGTCTCCACGTGTTTGCTGCAGCAGCTGTGAGTCACCCCCCGGATGAACACTGTGGTGTTGACCTGCCTGTGACGTGGCAGTTGAGGGATTGTCGTACCCGGGGCTGACTGGTGAAGACGCTTAAATACTGGGGTGTTGTGGTGAGGAGAGTGATCTGTGGAATCACACGAGGCTCCTGCCTAGGGCTCGCTACCCTAATATCGGTCGTGGAGTGGCCTACGCAGCGTTGCTGATTGGAACCTGCCAGCTACAGGCTGGATTTGTGGTTGACGGCCTCCACGACGGTGCCCCCAGTGGAACTGTGATTTGGCTGGCCAGGGTAGACTCAAGAGAATCGAAGGATTCATCGTGAGGCCACAAGAGGACCAAGAGCTTAGCATCGTTGAGCACCGTGAACGTCCAGAGTCTTCAGAGGAAGACTACGTTGTACATAATAGTGTTTATTCCTCCCCCGTGTGATAATCTATATATTATTTATGGTGACGGTGATAATTATATTATTAAGTTTTTGCCTTTGTCTCCCTTCCCCTTTAATTTACTTGCGTTACGGATCACATCCCTTGAAAGCCACTACTAGCTTGGGGCCGGATACCCTACCTCTAACAACATCAGAGAAAGAACCCGGTTGCGACCCGAGAGGGCCGTAACAGGACAATATCCAACTCTGGCCCCAGACATCACTCGGTACCCCTACTCAAATCTCTGAATATGTTAGACATTAAGTCACTGCACATTCTCTCATGTGTATTATACATATATAAAACGCTAAACTGTAATGCCAATCCTGATCTCAAAAGCTTCATAGAAGGTTGTAACAGAACCCATGAGCACCACACCAGAAATAAATACAGTTTTGATATTCCTAGAATACGACTTAATCAAACTAGAAATGCTCTACAAATCAAGGGGCCCAGAATGTGGAATGACCTTCCCAACCATGTTAAAGACTGTACCTCTCTCAACCAGTTTAAGATAAAAACGAAGCACTACCTAATAAATTCCCTGTAACCTACCTTACCCCCTCTATTGTCAACCAATGTCTGTGTTTTTTTGTGTTTTTTTTTAAGAGCGCTGTTTGTCGACAGAATTGTATTCGTGCTGCTTTTTCAGCTATGTTTTCATTCCATGTTTTCATTTTACTCTTTATGCTCAATTTTTTTGTTCTCGTATTGGCATCCTTGGTGATATTTAGCGCCCTCTGATTATTTTGCGTATTTGATGGTGCTACATAGCCTTCCCGGTTTGGTGCCTTCTTTTGATAATTACTTACTTACTTTATGCTCAATTAGTATTAAGCTTTAGTCATTTAAGTTTTTCATGCCCGAAACGCTTTGCGTAATAGTGGCTTTAGGCATTGTATGTACTAGCCCTATCTATAAATCCATCACTCTTTGTAAAATCTCTTGTATGTATGTACCTTACCTTGAGGTTACCTTACCTTACCTAAATAAACATTTGATTTGATTTTGATTTGATTAATAATTTTGTTGTATTTGTGTCTAGCTTCGGACACGAGCATGTTACAGTTATGTCTTAAAGAGTGGAGAGCATTTAAGGATGATAAGGAGTCACTGACAATTAATGTATCAAGTTTGGAGACTTGTACACATTTCAGTACAAGGAGCAAGGCAAATAGTTCGGTCTGAAGGGTAGAGGCCCAATTGTTTATACGGACTCCCCACTCAAAGTACAAGCCATCGCCCATTGTCAGAACAACTGCACTTCCAGCTGAGCCAGAGTTTAGTCATCTCTCGTATCAGGAACGGTTGAGGGCCACAGGGCTAACAACATTGCAGACCAGGCATGACAGGACGGATCTCAGCTTTAAAATACTGAACAATTTGGAGGATGTCGATCCGGACAATGCCTTCAGAAGGTCAGATGTAACACGAACGAGGAGCAAAGGGTTCAAACTTAACAAGTTCAATGTAGGACTGAAAACAGGAGATGCTATTCACCCATAGGGTTGTAAACCCGTGGAACCGCCTACCCGCCGAATTATGGGCTATTCATGCCCTTTGCCACCGCTTGGGTGGCTTAATCTTTATCAATCACCCGCCGAAGCTGTTAACGCCAAAACTCTGCTGGGTTTTAAAATACAGCTAGAAAAGAGCATCAGGGCAAATGGGGGGTACCTTTGACAAGCCGCCGGCTTCCTGTCCTCATCGAAGTAAATTTACCCTCAGGTAAATTCAGATACAGAAATGCTAGAAGGCGGGGCATGAAGAGCTAGACCTCACTTCTCCATAGACATCTTGAGGTTATCTTGAGATTCTCCATAGACACTGTTAGATAAGTACATACATATAGGCTGCTTAATTGTCCCCGACAAAATGAATTATTAATTATGTGTTTTTTAAATAAAATTTTCTTATAAATTTGTATTTTCTTATTATTATTAAGAGCAAAACAGTATATTGGTGCGATCATATATACGTGCGTAGCCTTTTGTATATTTTTTTTTTTTTTTTTTTTTTTTTTTTTGAGATATATACAAGAGTTGTTACATTCTTGTAGAGCCACTAGTACGCGTAGCGTTTCGGGCAAGTCCTTAATCCTATGGTCCCTGGAATACGATCCCCTGCCGCGAAGAATCGTTTTTTCATCCAAGTACACATTTTACTGTTGCGTTAAACAGAGGCTACAGTTAAGGAATTGCGCCCAGTAAATCCTCCCCGGCCAGGATACGAACCCATGACATAGCGCTCGCGGAACGCCAGGCGAGTGTCTTACCACTACACCACGGAGACTGATAAAGCTGACCACGGAGACATCATGGTTATGTGCCAAATATATGGTGATATTGAGGGAACATAAAGACAGACTAACTTTTGACCTAAACTCCGTAACCCTTCATAGAGGTTATGGTAGCCGCATCACACTTCATCAGCGTTAGTATTCAAAAACAAAAAAATATAAGTGCATCAAATTTAATTCAGGTTATGTTTATAATTTTTGAATATCTACAGCTTTAAATATTTCTTGGAGCCTTTTAGCTAAATTTAATAACTTGCTGTAAGTAATGTTACTACAAAATTTATCCTGACATAATTTAACAGGTCAATAAACGGCTTATAATTATCTTTAGGCGGCGCCCTAGTTCATCATAGGAAAACATACATAGGCCGTCAACTGACAGCTGGTACAATATAAACATCGTAATCTGAAGTAAATAAGAATCAAAGAGTCTATAGAAGATTCAAAGTTTCTAAATAGGATTAAATCAGTACTTTAGATATTTGAAGACACTTCTGATCCTCACTTGTTAATATTTAGTACCGTTGTCATTTTGTCTATGGAATCATTTTTTTGCAATATCGTCTGCCCTTGCTGAGGTTTGAAGTCGTGGGGTTAGATATTGGTGTTGGGAGCGGTCGCCATGTTACGCAGGTCGTGGTGTTGCGTAGCGTGTGTGGCGTAGTGTGTGGGCGAGCACTCCAGCGGCGGGTGTCCAGGTCCTCCCGTCTGGAGTGACTTAGAGCCGGTAGCGTGTGCACTCTAGTTCCCGTTGTGGGTATGTTGGTGATGCAATGTATTACGCTTCCAGTGTGCTCTCTCTCTGACACGTGTCTCACCTTATTATGCACTTCTGAGAATTTTGCAATGGTCTGTAATTGCTACTGAGGCTGAATTAGATTGTGTGAGATACAGTCTTGATTTTGTACTTGCCATGTGCAGACACTTGAGGAGAGTTATAAGTGCGAGTGTGGCAAGATCTCTTCAGACAGAGGAAGTTCATCAACAGTAGCACCTTGGACTGATACCTCATGAAACCAAAAACTTCACATTCAACCAGTTTCTCTATTCCCTTGACTGACCTAACCAAACCCAAAAGAACCTAATTTTATCAACTTTTTTTTTTTTAATTTTTTGAGTGCTACAACAAGTTTAGACTAATCAGAGATATTTTTATGTATGACATTTAATTTATTAAATTCCAGTCTTGGTGTTTAAAGTTGTTGTGCAGTTTATGAGAACCAATTGATTATTATTTTGTCAAATCAGAATGCTTTGCTTGCCACCAACTTTCATTAAAAAAGTTCTGTACTAATGATTGCATATGCTTAAGATTGGTTGGGGTTGATTAGGTTAACCAATTCATCTTTAATTCTAGTAAGTATATATATATATATATATATATATATATATTATATTTATATTTATATTTATATTTATATTATATAATAATAATTTGAATAGAGTATATAAAAACATAATAACAGTGAAATTTAGAAGACACACATTGTGAATTACACATTGTATTTCATGTGACAGTTTACAGTATAATAAAGGTAACGTTAATAATGTAAACAAACATTTTTCTCCATAAGCAAATAGTAATTTGAAATGGTTTCCTTTTTTCTTTTTTTAATTTTTGAGTGTTCTGTAGATGTCCAGAGCAGTAAAGAATGTAACCAGCAATTACATTTCCATTAGCTGTGTATAACTCGTGATTTGATAAAATATGCAAATGGTCTGCCGTACCTGTCAAGAAGCCACTGTAATCTGATCTGCCGTAATTTTATAAATAAAATACTACTAATAATAATATATATAAGACTAACACATTTATAAATAGATATTTCTAGTATTTAAAATACTTTCCGGTAGGGCAGTGGAGATTAGATCATTTTTAAACCCCCTTAGTATTAGCATGCACTATAAAATTCAGTAGCCAGTGCAGTCGATTGACAACCAAAAGTCTTTGGTTCAGTTCCCATGTTGGATGAGATATTTAGCAAGGGTTTCCTTTTGCCTGATGCCCCTTCAATTAGCAGTAAGTACCTGCTAGTTACCAAATTTCTGGTTAAAATTAAAGGTTAAGTGCCACTATTATTTGCATTTTTCAAGCAATGGAATTCCATATGTATATTTTCAAAGCTAACTAGTTCATTAACAGTAACACCAATTTGTTTTAAGATTTGCAAGGTGAAGTGAGGTTTTCTTGATCAGAATGCTAGCTTATATTAAGATGCTGCTCTATAAAAACAGTACAATACCATGTTTATTTGTAATGAGCAAAAAATTAAGCAATACAGTATGACAGTTATTATATCTCTTCGTTAGGGTAGGGTTTTATATAACATGCTGGTCACCAGAGTCCATCCACTTCTGTCTAAAAGACCCTATAATGCATGTATTGACGGATAGAATGAGAGCACAGAAATATCGGGAATGAAAAAGTTGGAATTAATATTAAACCTTGATTTTCCATTACTGTGCACATTTCCTAATAAACTTAAAAATATTTTGATAAAGATCGGTGGAATTTTATTTACTTTCTACTCGTGCAGAAAGACACAAGCAGGAGCTTTGAGAGGTGCAGTATAGATAAAAAAATGGCATAATATGAAAAAGCAAAACACCAGTTGAAAGGATGAGTCATTGCAAATGAGTGATTGTCAATGACAGTCAGTGACTCAATGAGTCATTGAGTCAAACACATACCAGCAAAAAAGGTAAAGGATGAAGAAAGTTCATAATTGAGACTGAGATCTGTCCAGGATCACCCGAATAAATTCTCTGCAGGGCACAAACCCTTCAGTCCATCACCACCAATGCAAAGACAACTGGGCCATGTGGACAAGAAACTGTCATGCTCCTGACACAATGGGCAAAGGGCAGGAGGAAACAGTACAGTTGACAGCCACAAAGGAAAAAATACTGAGAAAACTCCTGAAAAACTTGGGCAGCCGCCTTCCTATCAAAGACTGGGCTAGGATTCATCAGTCATTTATGCAAATACTCATCAATCATTTATGCAAACAATTAAAAAACCTGTCCATCTTGTTGTAATTGTGGCTGCTATGTTTATATTTATTAAGAAATATATGAGTTCCAAAGCTTCACAATCCAAGATTATTTTTATTATAAACAGTCTAGTAGTGCTTTGGAGCTTGTAAATTATAATAAATAAATAAGCTTGTAAACTATAATAAACTATGTAAACTTTAAATAAACAATAAAGCAAAAAACAAAAACAAAAGGAAGGGGGTGGTAGGAGAAAAGCACACAGAAACTGTATTGGAGGGGACCTACATTCCCTCTAATGCGTTATGTGTGGTTTCCTCCGAGGCTATGGGCTCCCCTTCTTCCAGCCAGAGGTGGTACTCCCTTCCTTTTTGTTTTATTTATATATAATATATTTATAATTTGTTTACCTATTTTAACAACCTTATTCTTATTTCCTCAGCTCTTATGTAAGGAAGAAAATTGTTAAAAACCATCTTTACTGCTTGAATCTCATGTGATTGTTAACCTGTTTTTACAGTGTGAAGCCAGGAGGCGCAGAGTTAATGGCTGGGCATCACCATGGGTGCCCCATGTCCTCATCAGTACATCATAGACAAAAATTTCAGTGCCAGACTTCTAGCTGAGAAAAGAGAGGTATGTTGATTTTTTGCATAATATGCCTAAGGCTGCAGGTTATGTTCATGTGTGTGGTGGACATATGTATACATTATTGTTTGAGGTTCATTATTTAATAGGAGATATTGTATAATTAGATTTTAGATATGTACAAGTTTAACTCCCATAGGTTTGTACAGTAGTTGAAAAGACAAAGGTACGATCATATAGAAGTTTCATGCAATTTATTTTTGCAATTAACTTAAAGATGAGGAAGAGGTACTCTGATGGTTGTATTACCCTGGTTGGGGATGTGATTGTCTAATAATTTCTCTGACCCAAATGCATTATGTTGTCCTAACCTAATACTTGGCGTTTCATTATAGGTCACATGTGAATGGTGTGGTGCTGCAGGCTCGAGCCTAAGGTTGTGTTTATACTCGGGGTGCCTGCGAGTTGGGTGTGGCGAGGGCCGCGCTGACCACTCCACCTTCCACAACAACCAGTTTCCCTCTCACTGTATCACCTTAAATTTAACTTCCTTACGATCATGGTGCTACATGTGTGAAATGGAGGCAAGTTACTTGCAATACTGACATGTCTCTGTGGGAACTTTCATGATCACAAAGTTATTAGTAATTTTATTAATTTTTTCTTTCTTTAAAAGGTCAAATATTTTGTTAAATGATACCTGATGTGGAAACTGTTTTTAGGCACCTATCAAAAGTATAATTTTCAAGGCGAATGACTTTTATACAATGATTGTGACATATATTGTACAGCAAAAAGTATGAAATGGGTAAGGCAGCATTAGGTAAGTTAATGTGTAATGACATAATGTTAACTAATTAGACTCCTTAGTGTGGCATTTAATTGTACAGTATGTTCTTATTGCTTTTTATTTTGTTGTAGGTAACTTCGTCTGTCATGGCAAGTCTCAGCATACCACCAGGCCAACAGCAGCATTTAGGAGGGCCAATCAGTGCTCCTGGTGTGGCTGTTGCTCAGCCAATCACACCTAGTCAGTCTAGTGCTGAAGATGATGATGATGACGAAGATGAAGGAGAAGAGGTGAAAGCCAAAGGTTAGTTAATCTGTCATTATTCAGAGCATGCCTACCTATTGTCATAATGTTTAGATTCTTGACAAATTATACAGATTTTAACAATTCTGACTGGATTGAACAACAGGTGTACAACTGTGCAAAATTGTTTTCAAGGGCATGAATTGAATAATAATTGGCTTTTAATTATGTACTGTTTTGACAAAACATAATATAAAATTCAGGTATTTAATTTGAAAAAATTATGGGTTGATCAATAAAATAAAACTGCATCATATTATAAATATTTCAGCATTCAAAAATCTGCAATTAAAAAAGTGAAAAGTGATTGAATGTAATTCACATTTAATTGCAGGATTGGTTGGTCTGCGCAACCTGGGCCTTACTTGCTACATGAACTCAGCTCTTCAGGCAATGAGCAACTCTGTTCCTCTAGCTCAGTTTATGATTGAATGTCCAGCATTCTTACGCAATGATAGAAAATCTCCTGGCCTTTCTCGACCTTTTCAGAGATTAATGGTCGAGATGTGGCATAAAAAAAGACCAAGTTTTGTCACTCCATCTCTGCTTTACCATGGATTCAAACAGGTGAGTAGCTATGTAAAGCATATCCTGCTGATGTATTGTATTGATTTACTCCTGTATTTCTATTTTGTTTCGAGTGCTGTTGCTAAAGCTGACAATGAGTGCTTGAGGTTGATAGGTAAATACAGTATATAAGCATCATTCTTCTTAAAACTCGATTTGGCATTTTCATGGGGCAGGGAGGCATTATGCTTTAGTGGTGGGACGATAGTTCCCAGCTCATTCATCTTGTGCTGTCACGGATAATACATATTACAATATATATACAAAGCTGTTTGTGCCACTGAAGGGGGTCAACAATATTAGCATGTTCCTATGTGTGGTACTGAAATAGTGTGTATTACAGTATAATGCACTTAAGACACATTGTGTAGATACTACAGGGTCCTGGCAGTACAATTGGGTTCGTTCTCGACGCACAATCTAGAATTTCGAGAATTCCGAATCCTGGGCTGGACAGAAGTGGTTGGGCACATTTCCTTTCACCTAACGAGTCTGTTCACCTAGCAGTAAGTAGGTACCCTTGAGTTAGTCAGCTTGTTGTGGGGCTGTATCCTGGGCGGGGTTAGTAATTCAACTTGGGGAGGGGGGTAACTCGATAAAAGCCTAATGTGTATGAACACACTGGCTTCTTGTCCCCCGACACAGTGAATTATAATCATTATAACTTACGAAATAATACTTATCTGCACTGCTGAGAAACTATTTAACCTATTTATGTATAGATTTTAAGTTTTTAATTTATACTGTACATGTACAGGCAGAGACCCTTCAACAAATGGGTTACATTCCAAAAATGTGCTTGTATCGTGTTTGTTTGGAACGCAGAATGAGATTTCCCATAGACACAGCTGCTATAAATGGAGAATACATTTACCAGACCACTAAAAGTAAATACAAAACCAATATTTTGGGGACAAAAAAAGCTTATTATTTACCTTGAATGGAATTGTCTTGCTTGTCAAAATTGGCTGTTTTTGAGGAGTGGAGAGATATAGTTGTTGGAAGAGGTAGCGGAAGGTGGTGGGAGGTGATATGTCTGTGGCGTAGGATAGCTGGTCATTTTCAGTGTCAATGGCTGCGTTTGATATGGGAAATGATGGATGGTTGACAAACTCTTGGTGGTCATCATTAGTGTCACTGCCGTAGAACTCAAATGTTTTTGGGTCACACTCATTCTTGTGAGTGTTTCCTGTCAGGGTTTTGCCCTTGTGGTTGTACCTGCTGTGTGTTGGTGCGGTGGCCAGGAATAAGCTGTACTTTGGGCTGTATGTGTTCTCTTCCTAGGCGCCCTGTAAGTACTTCCCTTGGATCTCGAGGTTATCTTCCCTTGGGCTTTCGGGTTCTCGCTCCCGTAGGGGTTGCTGTCGCTTGGAATTCATCAATCGTGACTTTGTCCTGGTACAAACTAGTGACGGAACTTTCCTCTCATATCACTAAATATCTTCTGCACTTTCCACAGTCTGTCCTGTCTGTCTTCATTATCATTGTTCTCAAAGTGCAGGCACCTGAGAAGCAGCAGGAACCTATCACGTGACATGTACCAGTTGAATACAGGGGATGGAACGAGGCTGTCTTTGCTCCAGTAATCCTGGATCACGTGTTTTTCTGAGTTTCATCATCATTCACAACGCTTAAAACACATACATTTCCTCATTTGTCGTGTCTTTCCATCGTGTCATGCAAGAGGCAGGTAAAATGCCAGAGTCAATGAGGCTGGGAGCATATCTCTTCGTCTCAGGAACGAGATGGTCCATGAATTCCTGATCAAAATTCGCTATAAAATAGTCAATTTCAGCCATATCATCAGCAGTATAGGAAAATGAGGGTGTCACACCAACATCAGTACCATCAAATGTTGACATTTTTGGGACAAAAGTCTCACAATCCTCCCACACAAGTACACCAGTGGTTTTGGTTTTGGCACCAACACCACAGCCACCACCAGCATGGGCCCCGAAAACATGGCTCCGTCGTCTCGTGCTACAGCTGTGTATGGGTATGCCAGAAGATGAGTGTGTTTTGCATAGTATAGGCCTACCACGAAAACCTGATGTCGAGAGATCACTGTCGTCTTTGTCCTCAGGCCGTGTGACTCGCTGCTGCTTACCTCTGCATTTTGCTGGGGCAGTAAAACCCTGCCTAGTAACACCACCGCTGCTTGTCACTGTCACTGAAGCCCGAGAATGATTCATCACAGTAGTATCACTAAATAAACTCACATCAGGGGACACACATGGTGATTGGTGTGACTAGTGGCGTTGACCAGGGTGGCAAGGCAGCCCGGGTGACGCGCGTGTACTGTACGCACCCGCAACATCGTCCACCTCCATATCCCCATTACTCGAGTCCGGCCCCTGTGTTAGGTCTTTTTCAGGACTGTAGTCTGTCATCATCCATTGCTCCATCATCATACAATATGTCCCATATTTCGTCCTCTGAGAGTCGTTTTGCTAGACCGTGGCTGACCGTGGACTGGGAGCTCAAAGACGATATGTCAGACATGGTTACTTCCTTGAAAGTGAGGGTCCCCAAGGCCCTGGGGCATGCTGGGATTTTTTTCAAAATGATGGATGATCACTGGAGGCCTCGGGCATCCATTTCATACTTGTCACCACGAGCCACTTTTGAATTGTACACTATACCTATGAGAGCCCTGAAGCGTATTGTGCACCACCCATCAAAAGCCTCAAGGCGCGTTGTGCATGCAGTGGTTGAAGTTGCTTGCCAAATTAGTATTCTTTTTTATTTTTTAATATATTTTTAGATAATGAAGTACTGTATATTATTAATTGAGGATACAGTAGTTTGTATAGAGAAGTTAACTATTAAATTACAGTACATTTGTACTGTGTATCAAATTTCCATTCAGCATCCTATCTGTATTATTGTCTGCCATACTCATAGATCCACTCGCTGCTAAGTCTTGCTTTGCTAGACATTGCTAACAAACATAAATATAGAAAATTAGAAGATAGAATACAACAGTGTTATTGGTTTTTTATCATAACAATCAGATTTGCTTTTGTTGCAGTTATACCCAATGTTTCGTGGGTACACACAGCAGGATTCTCAGGAGTTTCTTCGATACTTCATGGATCAGCTTCATGAGGAACTTCGAGAGCCTCGGGTAATGTCACATGAGGATGAAGAGAGGGAAATTGAAGGTAAGTTTGCATTGTTTGCCACAAAATAGCCACACAAGCTCTTTGAAAAGGAAAAATTGCTCAGCTGACTATAGTTGGTACTATACTTTATATAAAAAGTGTATTACAATCCAGTTTAGGATAGTGAAAGCTTATTAATACGGTATATTCATAAGAATCTGGTATTCAGAGAGCCAAAACTACTTCTTCTACAACCTTGCCTCTGTGAGGGGGCCAGGTTCTGGCTCGTGGTCCCCGGTAGACTAGAACTCCACCCACATTGTCTGATGCAAAATAGTTAGAGTATCCATATCAGCCATGGATAGCTCCGGGGAGCCTCCGGGACTCGCCCAGAAAAAGGCGTTTCATTACATTAAACCCTGTTTTTTTGCATGTTTTGACATCCAGCCTCAGAACTGCAGGGTGGATAGCCGGGACAGGGATCTGGGGCTTCCCCTTTCTCCCTCATGAGGAGGGGGTGGGGTTGCGCAGACAGTGGTGCGCTGACATGGTGACATCGTGCTAGCTTGCTCGTTTTCATTTGGGGAGTTCTGTCCACTGGTTCGGCTTTCAGTAACAATATTTTAACCAGAATAGGGGTTTGTTTTGTGGTGCGTACCTTTCTGGGTGCCAGACCTGGTCGCTGGCAGACATAGAATGCTTCCAACCACACGGGTTTCTATAGGCCATTGCTCCACGTGCCTCTGAGGGTGCCAGGATCTGACTCGTGGTCCCTGGTTGGCCTATAATAACATGTGCATTGACTGATGCCAGGATCAAGTAAATTCATATCAGCCCGGTTAGCTCCGGGAAGCCTCTGGGTCTCATCCAGAAAATGGCGTTTCATTATATTCAACACTGGTATTTTTTTAGTTTCCTGTGATCAGAGACTGCATTTTAACAATATAAGAGAAAAAAAAATTTTGCAAAGAATTTATTTTCAGCGCACAGCAGGAATGTCATATTACTGCGTAACGCTGTGCAGCATAGTGGTTAAGGCTCTGTGTGCAATATATTGCTTGAAAAGTAGGAGTCTACCCGAGCATAAAACACACTTCCAGCCAGACACCACCAACAACAGTATTAGGTATCCGCAGAGTCTGGACAAATGTACAGGTTTGCTAATATTCCATAGTTGGCCAACTTCAGGTAATATTAAATGTAATGTACAATTTATTAGTGGCTCTGCACATGATAAACAAAATAGATTACAGAAGTTTGTGAATAATTATTACAATACCTAATGATTATTTACCATACAATTAGTGCATTGATTTGACTTGGATGAATAGCTGAAAATAACATAGCATAATGCCGTTGGTACTAATATATTTGAGAGAGTTGGCAGTGTTAATCCAGAGAAACGATGTAAACTTGTATCCTGTGTAGAAGTGGAAGGGACAGCAAAATCCCTACATGCTGCACTTGAAATCTTTTGTACTGTACAGTATTTTTTCTTTCAACTTCATGCAGTATTGATTTATTAATAAAGTTAAGAATCTGATTGCAGATGAGGAAGACCTGTCAACAGGGAGCCTCTCAGAGCGGGAGGAATCACAGTCCGAAGCAGAGTATGAGACATGCGATTCAGGGGTATCAGAGCAGTCCTCGGAGTCATCGGATCACCACCCCAGCAAGAGAAAGAAGCGGCAGCATGTGGGGGTGGACATGGAAAGTGGAATCACTCTAAGGAATAGCAATCGGTAAGAGTAATTTTTGCTTATCACACTTTTCTGGGGGTGGGGGGGGGGGGGGTCAGTCTTTATTCTTGCACACAATAAAAATGCATTATCATATTACATACTGTACCTATATATTACTACTCTACTAAAAAAATACTGTATTACATTTATTATTTACCTTATTGTTGGAGTTATGTCCATCTTGAAGTTTCATAGAGTTGTGAATGCTGCACAATAAATACGTACTGTATTATGCCGTTAGCACTGTGTTGATTAAGTAGTTCTGCTGTATGTTGAGTACTACAATACTGCTTATGAAAACTATTTTACACTAAAATTTCTGTACTGCAACCTTAATTTGAGCACTAACACTATGTACTTAAATTTAACACTTATTCTAACTGTACACTCCACACACGATGTTCTTAGATGTTTGCATCAGCTTTGCTAGTGCTCGTTGCTGCTGTGTTTACTTCAGTTGCTTCTGAGCTGGTGCTGGCTGCTGTTGTACCAGTGCTGGGTACGGCTGTGCTTGTCCTGGGTACGGCTGTGCTCGTACTGGGTACGGCTGTGCTCGTGCTGGGTACGGCTGTGCTCGTGCTGGGTACGGCTGTGCTCGTCCTGGGTACGGCTGTGCTCGTACTGGGTACGGCTGTGCTCGTGCTGGGTACGACTGTGCTCGTGCTGGGTACGGCTGTGCTCGTGCTGGGTACGGCTGTGCTCGTACTGGGTACGGCTGTGCTCGTGCTGGGTACGGCTGTGCTCGTGCTGGGTACGGCTGTGCTCGTGCTGGGTACGGCTGTGCTCGTGCTGGGTACGGCTGTGCTCGTGCTGGGTACGGCTGTGCTCGTGCTGGGTACGGCTGTGCTCGTGCTGGGTACGGCTGTGCTCGTGCTGGGTACGGCTGTGCTCGTGCTGGGTACGGCTGTGCTCGTGCTGGGTACGGCTGTGCTCGTGCTGGGTACGGCTGTGCTCGTGCTGGGTACGGCTGTGCTCGTGCTGGTTGATTTTCTCCTACTAGTTTTTGCAAAATATTGCTTCATTTTTTACATTAATAAGGCACTATTAGTAAGGCCCTGATATATTTTGTTGTATAACAATACAGCTGTAGTAAAAAAATGGTAAATTCCACAATTATTCTTCCACCGGCGGATAAATAAGTCGATCACAGACAAAACTAAGGACACTGGGTGCCTACTGTATGAACGCAGATGAGGTCTGTACACCCTACTGTAGGCTGGTGTTTAAGCCAGATCCAGTAACATAAATTTCTCTCAAATATTAGATTTACATCAAATTGTATATTTTTGGGGTATATATTTAGTTTAGTAACATTATTACGATAATAAAAGCTATAAAAAATACTTATTTTAGAACTGATTTATTAATTTTATTATTTTGAAGCCGTAGGTCACTGAACTGTGGCGATGAAATCGAACAAAACAAGCATGGTGTTGTGTGGACATGGATTAGACCCGTCCACTCGCGCTGGAGTTGTGCCGCCAATAACATGAATAATTTCTCAAATGGCAGATATCTGTCATATTACAGTATATATTTGGTCTTATTTAGTTTAGTTTAATTAGGATTATAAAGAGTTATTAAAACACTAGTTTTAGAAATAATTTATTAATCTGAAACGTTCAAAGTCATGGGTCACTGAAGTATGAAGACACAGACGAAAGTGAGTGAAACCTCACTGTAAAGGGAGGTTTGCTGTACAGTATTCCCTTATCTGTCCATCCTCATTCATCTTGTTTCATCACAGAAAATGTATATAAGAAGAATTAAACACATTAGCTAGCTATTCACGTTTCAATCTTTAAATTAATTTACAAAGATACGTGTGCCACAAATCAGTGAACGAAAATCATTGAAACTCAGTCGTTCACTTGTGTGGACCACTCTGGCTGGTGTTTGGTTAATATGAATCATTTGTTGTGTGGTCCATTTGTGTGATCCAACTTGTCATATGAAAGAATTATTAACTGTAACCTGTGATAGAATTGGAAAGTTTTCCACCAGTCTGCGAACTCTGTCTCGACATCGTAAGCAAATCTGAACATCCCCCGCTTTGGCGAACCATTGTTTGTCGAACTGGGTGAGTAAATCCAGCCTGAAAAGTGTAATTACCTAAGTGTAGTTGCAGGATGAGAGCTACGCTTGTGGTGTCCCGTCTTCCCAGCACTCTGTCATCTGACGGTCTTGGCCTCCACCACCTTCTCACCTAACTTGTTCCGTCTAACACTCTGTTTGCGAATGTGAATTTTCTTATATTTCTTCGGCATCTGTGTTTAGCTAGTTTATATCTATGACCTCTTGTTCTTAAAGAGACATCTTCCCTATCAATTTTATCAATTCCTGTTACTATTTTGTATGTAGTGATCATATCACCTCTTTTTCTTCTGTCTTCTAGTTTTGGCATATTTAATGCCTCTAATCTCTCCACATAGCTCTTGCACTTCAGTTCTGGGAGCCACTTAGTAGCATGTCTTTGCACCTTTTCCAGTTTGTTGATGTGCTTCGTTGATGTGCTTTGTTGATGTGATATGGGCACCACACAACCGCTGCATATTCTAGCTTTGGCCTAACAAAAGTTGTGAACAATTTCTTTAGTATATCGCCATCCATGTATTTAAAAGCAATTCTGAAGTTAGAAAGCGTAGCATAGGCTCCTCGCACAATATTCTTTGTGGGGTCCTCAGGTGATAGTTTTCTATCTAGAACCACCCCTAGATCTCTTTCTTTATCAGAATTCTTTAAAGATTTCTCACATAATATATAGGTTGTGTGGGGTCTATGTTCTCCTATTCCACAACATGGCATTTATCAACATTAAATTCCATTTGCCAAGTAGTGCTCCAGATACTTATTTTGTCCAGGTCATCTTGAAGGGCATGACAATCATCTAAGTTTCTTATCCTTCCTATTATCTTAGCATCATCAGCAAACATGTTCATATACAGTAATTCTGTATACCAACTGGTAGATCATTTATGTAGACAATAAACATCACTGGTGCAAGAACTGAACCCTGTGGTACTCCACTTGTGACATTTCTCCAGTCTGATACATTGCCTCTGATCGCTGCTCTCATTTTTCTATCAGTCAGAAAATTTTTCATCCATGTTAGAAGCTTACCTGTCATCCCTCCAATATTTTCCAGTTTCCAGAACAACCTCTTACGTGGAACTCTGTCGAAAGCCTTTTTTAGGTCCAGATAGATGCAGTCAACCCAACCATCTCTTTCCTGTAATATCTCTGTTACTTGATCATAGAAACTGAGTAAATTTGATACACAGGATCTTCCAGATCAAAAACCATATTGTCTGTCTGATATTATATCATTTCTCTCCAGGTGTTCTACCCATTTAGTTTTAATTATTTTTTCCAATATTTTGACTATTACACTTATCAATGATACAGGTCTATAATTAAGGGGGTCTTCCCTGCTTCCACTTTTGTAGATTGGAACTATGTTAGCCTTTTCCCACACATCAGCTACAACTCCTGTAAACAGGGATGCCTGAAAAATCAGTTGAAGAGGAATGCTGAACTCAGGTGCACATTCTCTCAGAACCCATGGTGAAACTCCATCTGGACTAACTGCTTTGTTCTTATTTAGCTCCTTGAGCATTTTTTCCACTTCGTCTCTAGACACCTCTATGTGCTCTGTTGTTCTCTGGAATTCTTATTGTATCTGGTTCCCTGAAGATTTCATTTTGTACAAACACACTTTGGAACTTTTCGTTTAATGTTTCACACATTTTCCTTTTCATTTTCCGTGAATCTATTTCCCATTTTCAACCTCTGAATATTATCCTTTACCTGCAATTTGTTGTTTATGAATTTATAGAATAGACCTGGTTCTGTTTTACATTTGTCTGCAATCCCTTTTTCAAAATTTCTTTCTGCCTCTCTCCTCACTGCCGTGTAGTTGTTTCTCGCATCTTTGTATCGCTGGTATGTTTGGGGGTTTGGCCTCTTCCTGTATTGATTCCATTTTTGTGTCTTTTGGTCTCTGGCCCTCTCGCAATTTCTGTTGAACCAATCCTGTTAACTAGTTCTGCATCTCTGTTTTGGTATAAATTTTTTTGTGCCTTTATCATATATTTCACAAAGCTTGACATACATCTCATTCACTTCCTTGCCTAGCAACAAGTCTGTCCATTTATACTCACTAAAAAATTTTCTAAGGTTGCCATAATGTCTTCTCCTAAAGTCAGGTTTTTCAATTTCATCAACTATCATATTTTCTTCCAGATTATAACGCATTGCATAATTTATTCCCAAAAAGTCATGCTCACTTTTACCCAAGGGAGGAAGGTACTGAATGTCAAACATTTCTTCCTCCTTCCTGGTAAATATCAAATCTAGCATGGAGGGAACGTCCCCTTCCCTCATTCTCGTAGCTTGTTAACATGTTGATACAAGAATGTTTCCAGGATGAAACTAGATGTGTGAACTAGCCGGAGATTCATTGAATCGGGGTACGTTGAATCGAGGTTGTACTGTATACAGTACTGTAAGTACTTAATAGGATATAAGCATTAGTGTTCTTACCCTTCCTATTACAGGAGTCTTCTTTTGCCTGATCACGAGACAAGTGAATTCTCCGATGCTGTGTCAGATACCACTCTTCTTGACTCGGACTCGGCTGGTGGCATATCTTCCTCCGCTTCTCCTCAAGTTCACTCCTCCCTAACAAGTGGTCTTGGCTCCAGTAAGCCATCTATATCATCTATCACATCATCATTTAGAGGTCTGTTTAATTGCTGTCTAATAGTAATGTAGCATCTTGGTCATTAAATGTTGTGTATAGTATATACATGTAGACTTTTTATTTTGTTTAATATTATTCAAAACTGTTAATGTAACAGATTAAAAAAATTTGAGTTTAAACCATTTGGTCATTTTCCTAAACCCACTTCCCAGTACACAGCCTGTATCCACACATGACACTTGTGGTTTTTCCTTTTCTGACACATTAAACATCCAAAGGGAGACAATGGAGAATTTACAATCCAGCTTGGACTAACCTTTAGAAAAGTAATTCATCTGCTCTCAAAATATCTTTTCCAAGCAAATGTACTGTAGTAATACTTAAAAAAAGACCACCAAATATTTCTCTGCTAAAATTGCTAGCTGGTTACCTGGCTGCTACCCCCAACACACTACTTGGCGAGCACTTGTATAGGTGGTTGGTACGTGAATACATTGAAGGAAGAGGTTGTTGAAGTCAATTTCATCCACAATCCTAAGAAAAAATATGATGAAAATACTAATGTCACGTGAGGTAATGGGGAGGAGCCTACGTTAGCCTACCTTTCAGTCCGGCTCTGGATAGACCAGGTCATCTTTCACTTTAGAGGCTGGTGCAGTTGTACACTGTGTTCTGCTCTTGTGCTTCTAAATGTGTTTTACTAGACTTTCCTTCATTCACAATTTAGCTGTTGGTCTGTATGGGAGGGACTTGGGCGTGTGCTTTTTATTCTCGGCTGTGTGCGCAGGAGTGTTTTCCGCCTTCCCAATTTGTTTTCTCAAGTGGGGTTTTGTTGCCACCAGGTTGGTAGTTTGTGTGGTTTTTCTGGGCTTCTGGTGTTTTATATTTTAAATTTCTTCAGTGTTGCCACTGTTGGAGGCCTTTTTGAGGTACTGGTGTTTCTTTGTTGCATACTTTTTCTTATGTTTCATCCGTAGTACACGTGTTAGCCTTGGGAATGGTTGCTTAAGGAGTAACCTAAGAGCAGCTGAGTGGTTTAAACTTGGATATAAAACTTTGAGTTTAACCACTACCCTGTGCAAAGCACCTTTAGGCACTATGAGAGTTGTGCAGTTTTTTTTTAATTAGGCTATATTTTAATGTTTTTAATGTTTTAATTACTCTTTGTGTTTTGGAATGGAAATAATTGAGTTTGGAAACATTTTGACATTAACTTTACCTGAATATTTATAAAAACAACAAAAATATATCCTTGACAATTGCACTAAGAAGTTTTTGCCAAAACCATGTGCGCAATGCAGGGGTTAAATGAAAAGCCCCCTCCTGAGCAAGCCACTCAGATGCATCCTTCCTCTTGTTCCTCAACTTGCCCTGCACCTCTCTGGGTTGGAGAGTGAATGAAAGTGAGGTGATTCCACTGTTGAGAATGAGTGATAGCATCAATTTTGGGATTGGGTTAGTGAGCAGGTAACCAATGAGCAGGGATAGCAGAGTAATGCTTGGCAGTATCTTTGAATCCCAGTATTACCTGGAGTCTTGACTGTAGTTGAATGAACCTTTTAAAGATTAGTCTAAGCTGAATTGAGACTTCTCCCAATGTCTTCCTTCCTCCACTTACTCATCAATGTAAGGGAGGGGCAATGACAGCTATATATTTATGTACAGTAGTTTATAGTTAAGAAACACTTTAAAAATGGCAATTATTAGAATACAAGACAGAATTCAAATGGACTACACATTGATGTTGAATTGAGGGAAACCATTTACTGTAAATGCGTGCATTATATATATTTATCAACACATCAGAGGAAACATACAAAATAGATAAATATTATTACTCGCTGATATGATTATACAGATCTTCGAGGTGAGGAGAGAGAAATGGAGGTAAACCCTCACACAACAATGAAGATGGCACCTCACAGCACCTTTGACACAGATACCTCTGTCTGCTACAAGTTCAGGCCTCCTATGAAGCCTGATCTTGTCATTAGGTGCTTGGACAGAGACACAAGGGGAGGGGGGGAGGCTACACATACAATATCAATTACACCCAACTATTGTAAGCACATGCACTGGACACAACAGCACTATACACTCACACTCTCATAAACAATTCTTAAAAGAATTTTGTTTAATCTACAATATTCGCTGACAATTACTAAAATGAAATGAATAAAAATGTAATGCCAATCATTAAAGAAAGTGTAGCTTGAAAAAATCCCTGCTGTGTCAGGGATGGAAAAACACACTGCTCAGTAAGGAGCATTTTCATCACTTCTTGGAACCTTTCTTTAGTAAGGTGTACTAAATTGTTACTTCTCGTATTAGTAGTGTAATATTATTTCATGTGAGGTATATGTATCCTCTTCTTTTTCCTTGTTTCAGATCTGTAAGATATCTGAAAATGTTATTGAAAACAAAAGTTAAAACTAAATAAAACCAATAATTGAAGTAAGGTTTGTTTACATCACATAATTCATTTTTCATTGGGAATGTACAAAATAATTGAAACTCTTTAGTGTAGAGAATATTAAATTCACCTATTAATTTCTTTTGGCAGCTACAACATCCCCTCCCCCAGGCAAAGCCTCCACAAACACTACTAACAATCCCAACCGAAGAAGAAAGCCGCCTTCGTACCGCAGCGTCATCTCGGATATCTTTGATGGAACCATTGTCAGTTCAGTGCAGTGCTTAACCTGTAATACGATATCCTCAAGAAAAGAAACATTCCAGGACTTAAGTTTGCCTATCCCTAGCAGCGACCAACTAAGCATCCTGCAGCACTCGTCTGTTACCCAACTACAGCAGGTGGGAGTAACCAACACCAGCAGCCTCCACCTTGCCAAGGCCTCGTGTGATACAGCAACAGATGGGTTAGTTTTCTATGATTCTAATGTAGTACTCTTATCAAATTTTAGACAAGGATGATTTCTTATGTGGAAGCTTTTTTTTTTATATTGCCAATGATTGTTCTTCTCAGCCTGTAACCGATTCTGCATTATCCATAGCTACAAACCATACTGATACCCCTCACTCTTAAATCCTCTCCAGCTGAGAAAATTAAGCTCTACATAAAAAATCTAGAATGCCACCAAAATGAGCAGCCAACCCTGAGTCTTGTACTAGTTCTTTAAGCTCTCAAATGCTATTTTGTAAGTATCCATTCAATTTAAGGACCTCTTATTTACCATTCCGCCAGTACTAAACGCTGATTTTTAGATCGTTAACTGGCACCTTATTTACCGAGTCATTGGCCGTTAAATCCGGAACACGGTATTGAGTTTACAGAGTCTGGTATGCATTAAATTGAAGGCTACTATTATGTTTATTGTGACAAGCTTGCCTTCGATAGGCCAGCAACTACATTTTTCCTTCACAGATTTCACTGCTTTTGTTATGCAGCACGTAGTCATAGCTAGTCACCGTCCCAACTAGTCAGAGGCAGCCATGGTCAAGTTACAGTCAGGCAGACATTCACAGTTCACAAGTCACAGTCATAAATCAGTCATAACCAGTCACAGTTTGTAAACAGTATGAGTCAGATATTGTTTACAAAACACCAATGTTATATACTCTCACAAACCCAATGTGTACCTTCTTGTATATAAATAAATAAATAAATAATGCTGTCAGGCAGGGTGGTCTGCTACCAAGACCACCAGCTGGTGGGAAGGATCTGGAGGGATCACAGTCTACATGCGGCTGGAGGGGTGGGGGATATTTCTGGGAGGGTCCAGTGTGGGGATGGGGAGGTAGGATGTAGTGGGAATGGGGGAGTTATAAACCAGTCTGTGGTTGTCCACCCACCTGCCTGCCACCTTGCCAGTCAACCACCAATTCATCCATCCAATTGAAAAACCAGCCCATAACCATCTACCTACCAATCCATCCATCCCACCCTGCCTGCCCGCCCACTCACCCTGCCTCTGGCCAGTCTGCTCGCGCACCCAGCCAGTCCACCCAAAGTCCATAGCCAGTCCACCCAAAGTCCATAGCCAGTTCACCCAAAGTCCATAGCCAGTCCGCCCAAAGTCAGTAGTCAGTCGACCCACAAAGCCTGTCCGCCCATCCAGCCAGCCTGCTCATGCACATAACCCACTCTGCCCGCCATCTAGCCACCCCACCAATCCATCCATCCAGTGCCTGCCCGCCCAAACCTACCCAGCCTCAAATATCATGCTGGGGTGTCTCACGGTGATGATCTTGTTTCATCACCATGAGACAAGACTTTTGGGTGATGGTTTTGTCTGTCTTGTGCTTACTAACTGTGGTTCTGGGGTAGTTTTCTTTCTGTTCGTCTGGGCACCGGTTTTGGGCCCGGTGCACTTGGCCTGTATACTCTTCCAGCTTCTAAGCCTTCAGTCCTCGGTATTCTTTCTGTATTGTGGCCAATTTAGCCATGGGGCATTTTTTCAGGGTCCTGTGACTTACCCTTCCATATTATGTTCTTTTTCTGGACACCTATTGACACTTTTCATTACCATGGTGCATCTTTTCGCTGGCAAATGTGGTAGATAGAGCTCCCCTGGGGTTCGTTTTCTGGTGCCCTATGGTTCCTTGGATTCATCTTTTCGGGGGTTTTCTTTCTCTCAAATTTCCCTTGGGGGAAATCCGAGAGGAATTTCTCCAAGAAAAAAAACCCAAGGCTCCCAAACCTTGGTGGGTTTGGGAGCCCCTTGGCATGTGCCTCTGGCGGGCCCTGGTTTTGCCTCCTGTGTTGGATCCAGTTTTCTTTGAGTTCGGTTCCTCTTACACTGCTAGGGGGCATTTCATGGTTCCGGTGCTTTCCTGGCTGACAGCCTACCTTGTTGGCTGGTTGGTGTGGGCTCCCTCCCAGTCTGCTTGTCTGCTGGCCAGGGTTCTAGTTCTTTCTCAGCTTGCTGGGTTCGGATTCCTGGTGACTTGGCGGAAGTCCCAGTTGATTCTTTCTCGAGTTCGGTCTTGGTGGCTGAGCGTTGTGTGGGATTCTCGCACGGCATCCATCTCTCTCTCTCTCTCCCTCTCTCTCTCCTGTGGCTTTGCTTCAGCTGCAGTCCCGCTTTCAGCTTTGTTTGGGGGGAACTCGGATCACAAGGCGCTTGCTCGGCCAGCTGTGTGGGAGCCTGGACTTTGTCATGCTGGTTTTACTGCTGGGCAAGGTTTGGCTTCAGAGACTGTTCTGGTACCTTCAGGGCAGTCTCTTTCGCTGCTCTCACAATCACTGGATTCAACCCCGATGTCCGTGCGTCAGTTGCTGTGTCTTCGGCTTCTTCTTTGGGGTTCGGTGCCTGCTTGATACCTGCTTGGAGTTCTGAAAGTTCTTCTTCTCTCCAAGCCCGGCCCATGGCCAGATTTGACTTGGTCAAACAGGCTGTTGCTTGGAGCGGCCCACAGGCCCCACATATCCACCACAGCTCGGTTGGTCCGGCACTTCTTGAAGAAAATTATTTGCCGTGTCTTCCCTTGCCCTCGCTTGATGTGTTCACAGACGTCTTGTCCCTCAGCTGGGGCTTTGTAACCAGTGCTCCCCAGGCCAGCCTGAGGCATTGGGCTCCATCCTTCTGTTGGGCTCATGACATGGTGTGGGAGTTTACAGCTGTGTGGCAGACACTGAGGAGGTTTTTGATCCCTCGGAGCTCTGTGATCCGGCTCCATTAATAAATGATTCACAACATGGTTTTACTAATGGCCATTCATGTTTAACAAATTTGCTATCATTTTATTCCAGCACAGTTCAGGCAGTTGATAAGGGTAAGGTTTGTGATGTTGTGTACCTTGACTTAAGCAAAGCTTTTGACACAGTGCCACATGAAAGACTAATTAAAAGTTAGAAGCTCACGGTATTGTATTGGGGGTGCTATATTAAGTTAGATTAGGGCATGGCTATACCAAAGGAAACAAAGAGTTAGTATAAATGGGGTTAAGTCAAGAGTGGGATAATGTTGTAAGTGGAGTGCCTCGAGGGTTTGTCCTGGGACCTGTTATTCATAATATATATAAATGATTTAGAGTCAGGTTTGAGCAGCAATATTTGCAAATTTGCCGATGATACAAAAACTTGGAGTCGGTGTAAGATATCTTAGTTTAATCCATATTACCCCTTTCAGAATATATTATTTTCATCTGTACTCGTTCCTATAGGTGGATGTGGTGGATCTGGGTATGGCTGCGATCATGGCTGTGGGGACCGGCAGTCTCCCTCCATCATTGCCTTGCAGCCTTCTTCAGTGCAGATGAACTTAAAGGAGATAATATGTATTCGTGTGAAAAGTGTGGTAAACTACGTAATGGGGTCAAATATTCTAAAGTTTTGAAACTACCAGAGGTGCTTATAATCCACCTGAAAAGGTTCCGGCATGAAACAATGTTCAGTTCAAAAATCAGCCAGTATGTGTCATTTCCGCTTCATGGCTTAGATCTCACACAATTCCTTCACAAAGGTAAGTTTATAAAGTCATGAATGCAGGATAAACTATTCTCTAATTGTGTTATTATGAAATATGATCATCTTTTGATAGGTAAAAGGCTTTATGCCCAGTTTTCATTCTTTTCTTTTCTTATTCTGTAGTCTTGTAATTTTGTCCTTCAGATTGTGCATCTGAGGTGGTAACATATGATCTGTATGCTATTATCTGTCACCATGGCACTGCAGGAGGTGGTCATTACACCTCATATTGTCAAAACTGGAGCAATCACCGCTGGTATGAGTTTGATGATCAGTATGTTACTGAAGTCTCTCCGGAAACTGTTGCCAAATGTGAAGCATATGTTTTATTCTACAAAAAGACAAGTACGGAGATGACATCACGGCGCCAAAGAACTGTCGAACTTATGCAGGTATGCCATATTAATCTAACTATCTCTGATTTAATTTTAACCTACAATTTGTAAATAGGTAATGAAAGTTGTTTGTTTTCAACTACATCATTGTAGCTAAAAGCAACCACACCTTGTCTGTGATACAATAAAATCTCTGCCATAACACAGACTGATACTTAACTATTGTTATTTACATAAATATATGGTCTAGCTCGCCTTCCCCCAACTTCTGATAATCTATAGCTAAGATTTTTTTTGTCGTATCTTTGGTGGGTTGCTTTTGTACACAAAAGTCTAACATTAAGAAACTAAAGTATTATTACTGTACTAGTTCAGTCAGTTCAATACAGAAGCATATACAGATGAGTATATGCATTTGTATTGCCAATTTTGTAATCATAAAATAATTATAAGATTTAATAAAACTTTTGTATATTTTTCTTTCTTGAGGGGTGGAATAGGTATGTGAAGGTAACCATGCTGTGGGGACTACACACACGAGTCACATCGGCCCCAGGCATCCTTAATATTCTACCAGAGCCACAACCTGCCCCCTCCCCCTCTCCCCCCCTCTCCCCCCCTCTCACAAAGGCACAGGGAGCAGAGGGGATTTTTTATGATCATCCTCACTATGGAAATATTCAGAAAGTAATAGGATGAAATGGATAACTATAAGGTTCTTGTAGTTGTCAAGTCCTCAAGGTCTCAGTCCTTGAGGTCCAAGATCTGACAAAATGGGCCAGACATCTCTCCACAGTGCTGTCAGAGTGGCGAACCATGAAAGGCCTGGCAAAAGCCCTTTCGTGGTTTGCTAGGGTTAGGCAAAAGCCCTTTCATAATTCAGTCCAGGGTTAGGGTTAGATAACCCTAACCAGTCCCTGAACAGATTCATTTAAGGTTCAGGAACTGGTTAGGGTTTCTAGTGGTATGTCTTGCTTACAACTTCAAGGTTCTTCCTTTCAACTTGATTCTGGCTCCTCAGATTTTTACCAGGTTGCCAGGTTGTGACCCAGGTAAATCTCCAGGGGGTTCGTGTCTTAGCCTAACTCGACAACTAGCTTGTTTGGATTCTTATCCAATCTGTGTGTCTGCAAGTTGAGAATCTGGTTCATTCCCAGCTTTCTGGGTTTGGATTCCTAGTGAACAGGATGAAGTCCTAGTTGGTTCTATCTCAGGTTTGTCTATCTGATGTTGGACTGACCCTGGATTGCTCGGCAATTGGTCAAGCGATTGTGTGGGAGCCTGAAATTTACCTGCATAGTAAATTCTTTCAATACTGCCCTTTTTACCTTTGCTGAAACTGCCAAGTGCGAGCTCTGTTAGCCCTTTTCTGGCCTTTGGTTCGCTGGTTTCCTCTTCAGGTTTTTCTAGATTTTCTGTGGCACCTTCCTCCTCCATCACTTTATACATTCGTAGACACCTCGGCCCTGGATTGGGGTTTTCTAGGGGGAGCCCTACTGCTCTCCGGATATATTCCCTTATCCAGGCTGATATTGCTATATTAGACTTTGGCATCAGTCATGTGAGTGGAGTTCTTAGGCCTACCGGGGACCACAAGCTAGAACCTGGCTCCCCCTAAGAGAGGCACGAGGAGCAATGGCCTATAGCAACCGCCTTGTGGTTGGAAGCATTCTATGTCTGCCATCGACCGGATCAGGCACCCAGAAAGGTAAGCGCCCTAAAAAAACTATTCTGGAGGTTCAATTTCAGATTTCAGATTCTTCTGAAACTGAGAGCCGAACTAGTGAACAGAACTCCTCAAACAAAGACGAGCAAACGAGCATGACGTCACCATGTCGCTGCGCCGCTGTCTGCACAGCTCCCCCGTCCCCGAGAGGGGGAAGGGGGAGCCCCAGACCCCTCACACCGGCTACCCAAAACCCCCAGTTCTGAGGCTGATGCGCTAGGCTGAAGTCGTGTGCTCTGGCTCCTGATTTGGTCTCAAGCTCTGTACCTAGTGGTGTGGGGGCTGTTCCTTAAGGGTGCGCGAGCCAGGAGTATTCTCTTCAGTACTTCGGCTGCATGCGCCTAGGGCTCCCTTCCCTAGTTGCCCCGTAAGTACCTTCCTTGGGGCTTGGGGTCGCCTTGCACAAGTTCCTTGGGTTCTGTCTCTGCGTGGTCATTTGCTGCTCGGCGTTCGGCCGCCCTTTGTGTGTTGGGGGTGTTTCTTGCACCCTTGTTTACCTTAGGGTAAGAGGTGTTTGCACTGGTAGGGATGCAGGGCACTGCACAGCTAGTTGTCATCTCTCATAGCGGCCGACTCTGTTCCGCCTGGGTACGTTGTCCTCTTGCAGGGTTTTATTATTGTTTTTGTTCCCTGCCTGTTGGGGAAGTCTCCCTTTGCTTGGTCGCCCCTGTGTGTGTGTGGGTGTAATTACCTAAGTGTAATTACCTAAGTGTAGTTACAGGATGAGAGCTACGCTCGTGGTGTCCCGTCTTCCCAGCACTCTTTGTCATATAACGCTTTGAAACTACTGACAGTCTTGGCCTCCACCACCTTCTCACTTAACTTGTTCCAACCGTCTACCACTCTATTTGTGAAGGTGAATTTTCTTATATTTCTTCGGCATCTGTGTTTAGCTAGTTTAAATCTATGACCTCTTGTTCTTGAAGTGCCAGGTCCCAGGAAATCTTCCCTGTCGATTTTATTAATTCCTGTTACTATTTTGTATGTAGTGATCATATCACCTCTTTTTCTTCTGTCTTCTAGTTTTGGCATGTTTAATGCTTCTAACCTCTCCTCGTAGCTCTTACCCTTCAGTTCTGGGAGCCACTTAGTAGCATGTCTTTGCACCTTTTCCAGTTTGTTGATGTGCTTCTTAAGATATGGGCACCACACAACAGCTGCATATTCTAACTTTGGCCTAACAAAAGTCATGAACAATTTCTTTAGTATATCGCCATCCATGTATTTAAATGCAATTCTGAAGTTAGAAAGCATAGCATAGGCTCCTTGCACAATATTCTTTATGTGGTCCTCAGGTGATTTCTAGGGCCATTGCTCCCTGAAACCTCTCTGAAGGGGCCAGGTTCTGGTGCTGGTCCCTGGTAGGTCTGAACTCCTTAGCTAATGTCCCGGTCAAATATAACATACATTAGCCCGATAAGCTCCAGGGAGCCTCAGGGGCTCGCCCTGAAAATAGCGTTTCTTTACATTCAACGCTGGTTTTTTGAGAGAGTAGTCTGCACTCCTGCCTCCTGGTAAGTCCTGGTTTCCTTATTCTCTGTGCTTTGGTATCTTCATGGAGACACCATTTGGACCCTCCATAAAACCCAGTATTGAATTTAGTGAAATCTCTCTTTCTGGTTGTGCCTTAGCGGTGCCCTTCTCCCTTTCCTTCCAGGTGTGCCAGTTGGTCGTCTTAGGCACTGGACTAAGTGTTGACATGGGAGCCAAGAGCTGACAGTGATGCTGCCACCTGGCAGTGGCCAGCTGTAATGATGTGTGTGTCCGAACAGACTACATGGTTCATTGTTTGCCGAGTTGTCTGTTACTTCATTTTTAGTTTCTCTGTGTACCCTGCAGCTGTATGTTTTGCTTCACTTACTTTCTGAATGTTTCCTTGGTGAGGATGATCATATACGTGAGGAAAGGGGGGGGGGGTGAATAGGCACTGACTCTGGTCTTCAGTATTCTATTAAGAATTCATGGGGCTAATGTGACTTGTGTGCGGAGCTATCTCAGTGCGGCTAGCTTCATGGAGCCCCCAAAGTTCAGCCAGAAAAAGGCATTTCATTGCATTCAATGCTAGTTATTTTTATGATTACTGTATATCTTTATGACACAGAATTTCATTAAATTGCAACCACTAACATCTAGTTGGTTGGTTCTGGTTCAGCTTATCTCTCAGCATTACAACATTCACCACAAGAATTTACATTCATTCAGTAAAATTTACTACTTTCACTAATATTTTGCAATTCAGAAAACATTTGGCATTAATTTTAGGAAGATTTTTTTTTTATAAAGGGGGTGTTTTCTATCAATGAAATAAAGGTTTTGCTAAGGACCATGGTTTTGTTTACAATTATACTTCACTGTTGTGCTTAACCCCTTAACTGCGTTGCCTCCAAATATGACACCCCCCCTCCCCAGTGCACAGGAAATATATTCTCTGGAAAAAATTCTTTTGATTTTTTAGTGTCAAAAACCCTTCCCTCAGTATGGGCATGTAAAAAAAAAATAAAAATTGTACTTACTTTGGCTGCTATGGGGTCCGTAAGTTGGTGCGTGACATCATCATTCCCCTGTTCGTCCATGACGTATGCTCCTGGGGCCAGTAGGGTGCCTGGGTCAGGGCGCATGAGTTCCCACGAATATATTTTCATTTTTTGCGCACAGTTCCAAATACATTTTATTTGTTTTTACATGCTAATCCTATGTATAATGAAGACGTACACTATATTATGGCAGTAAAACATCCGTACTGTCCGAAGACACTGTGTTACATGCATGACACTTGTGCACACATATGCTGCACATATTTACTATGTATCATGCTAATTTATGTATATATACAATCTATTTACACACTATACACTGTCACACACTATATACATTCACCATCAACACATTCAGAACACCGCAAATGAGAGCAGCCACACCCAGCCAGTCTCCTTCACTCCAACATCTTACTCACCAACATTGCTCCTCCCACCATAGTTATTGTTCTTATTATACTAATTACACATGTTATATATACCTATCTACATGTTTTATTTACCAGAACTATGCAACTAAGCCGGTATTGTGTCCAAACAGTACAGTTGCCACCATACACTGCATGAAAAATCACACAATAGACAGCAGACAACGCTACGATTACGACGTCACCTCCCTCACCAAAATAGCTCCTCTCAACATTCTCCTGTTGCTGTTATTACACTATATACATACACTGTATATACCCATGTACATATGTGTTGCCCATAGCGAACCACTAAGCTAGTATGGTGAGCAAAACAAGAGTGGCTGCCACACACACACAATGAGGCTACCTCAATTCTCTCCTCCCTCGCTCACCAAAATTCCTCCTTCCACAATACTACGCACAATGCTAATTATAACCACAATCCTGGTCACTAATTCCTGTAAATGAATAATTGACCACACGTTTATTTTGAAAAGGAACCTAAGAAGTCATTTGAAGATTCCTAGATGGACGAAATAATGCTGTTGCTAGTGCTGTGAACATTGTGAACAGCATTGAATCACTGATATATGAACATTGTACCCATTCATCATCACACTCAGGCTCTTCTATAATACTATCATGGCTAAATAATACAAGTTATATATATACTTTGACATTATTAGGCAATGCTGTGGTCACGCTGAACAGCAGTGCTGTGCGCTCATGCTGCGAGCGCCAACCTTGGTTGCTTACTCACTACTAAGGCTCCCACACCCGGCAATGTGGACCACAATTTTAAAAAAAAATGGCGTCTGTTTACAAGAGCCCTGAGGAAGCTGATGTGAACCCCCATGTAGCCGCGGGAGTTTTGAATGGAACGTGAAAAATACAAATACCCGGAGGCGCGTTGCGCAAACCAGACGTGAGCCTGCAGGCTCGTTGCACAGTTTAAGGGTTAATGCCACGTGTTTTGCCTGTGACCTAATATTCCATCTTGCTTCCACCATGGCCAGGGTCTTGGGAGTCTAACATGAAAACTAAGACTTGGCTGTAGTAGAGCAAAGCTGAAGGAGCACAGGGGTGCACCAAAAAGAATTTTTTTTTTTCATTACTTTCACATGGAATGGAATGAAATTATATGTTATTTGCAAGGAATCTTGCATCATAACGGATGTGTGATTTGTTGCTTTAGAAAAAAGATAAAAAAAAAGAGAGAACTGGATGTGTGTGTTGCTTTAGAGTACTATAATAAACATCTATTTTATCTTTCAATAGGTGTCTTCAAGGGAGCCTTCACTGATGCAGTTCTATATATCAAAACAGTGGGTTAATAAGTTTAACACTTTCTCGGAGCCAGGACCCATCGATAACTGTGACTTCTTGTGCCCACATGGAGGAGTACAACCACAAAAGGTATGAAATACTTTATATATATATATATATATATATATATATATATATATATATATATATATATATATATATATATATATATATATATATATATATATATATATATATATATATATATATATATATATATATATATATATATATATATATATATATATATATATATATATATATATATATATATATATATATATATATATATATATATATATATATATATATATATATATATATATATATATATATATATATATATATATATATATATATATATATATATATATATATATATATATATATATATATATATATATATATATATATATATATATATATATATATATATATATATATATATATATAATATATATATATATATATATATATATATATATATATATATATATATATATATATATATATATATATATATATATATATATATATATATATATATAGTATATTTTGGTAGCAGTCTATATATATATATATATTATTAAATATGACCGAAAAAGTAAGATTAATAATTCTAACACGAATTTTCTCAATCTTTCGTACATTACGCTTCACTGTTGGAGGTAAATCAAAAATCACTTCTCCAAAATTCATTTTTATTTCTAGTCTGACGCGACACGGGCGCGTTTCGTAAAACTTATTACATTTTCAAAGACTTCACAAATACACAACTGATTAGAACGTATCTCTGATTTTATATCTACATTTGAGTGAGGTGGGAAGGGTGATGTGGCATTAACACAAGACAGAACAGGAGGGGATATTAATAGGGTATTAAAAGTATCAACACAAGACAGAACAGAAACAATGGGTATTGAATAGAAGTGTTTGTAGAAAGCCTATTGGTCCATATTTCTTGATGCTTCTATATTGGAGCGGAGTCTTGAGGTGGGTAGAATATAGTTGTGCAATAATTGGCTGTTGATTGCTGGTGTTGACTTCTTGATGTGTAGTGCCTCGCAAACGTCAAGCCGCCTGCTATCGCTGTATCTATCGATGATTTCTGTGTTGTTTACTAGGATTTCTCTGGCGATGGTTTGGTTATGGGAAGAGATTATATGTTCCTTAATGGAGCCCTGTTGCTTATGCATCGTTAAACGCCTAGAAAGAGATGTTGTTGTCTTGCCTATATACTGGGTTTTTTGGAGCTTACAGTCCCCAAGTGGGCATTTGAAGGCATAGACGACATTAGTCTCTTTTAAAGCGTTCTGTTTTGTGTCTGGAGAGTTTCTCATGAGTAGGCTGGCCGTTTTTCTGGTTTTATAGTAAATCGTCAGTTGTATCCTCTGATTTTTGTCTGTAGGGATAACGTTTCTATTAACAATATCTTTCAGGACCCTTTCCTCCGTTTTATGAGCTGTGGAAAAGAAGTTCCTGTAAAATAGTCTAATAGGGGGTATAGGTGTTGTGTTAGTTGTCTCTTCAGAGGTTGCATGGCTTTTCACTTTCCTTCTTATGATGTCTTCGATGAAACCATTGGAGAAGCCGTTATTGACTAGGACCTGCCTTACCCTACAGAGTTCTTCGTCGACTTGCTTCCATTCTGAGCTGTGGCTGAGAGCACGGTCGACGTATGCGTTAACAACACTCCTCTTGTACCTGTCAGGGCAGTCGCTGTTGGCATTTAGGCACATTCCTATGTTTGTTTCCTTAGTGTAGACTGCAGTGTGGAAACCTCCGCCCTTTTCCATGACTGTTACATCTAGAAAAGGCAGCTTCCCATCCTTTTCCGTCTCGTAAGTGAAACGCAGCACGGAACTCTGCTCAAATGCCTCCTTCAGCTTCTGCAGATGTCTGACATCAGGTACCTGTGTAAAAATGTCGTCAACATACCTGCAGTATATGGCCGGTTTCAAGTTCATGTCGACTAAGACTTTTTGCTCGATGGTACCCATGTAGAAGTTTGCAAACAGGACACCTAGGGGAGAACCCATGGCGACCCCATCTACTTGCTTATACATGTGCCCATCCGGGCTCAAGAAGGGTGCCTCTTTAGTACAAGCTTGGAGTAGTTTCCTCAGAATACTTTCTGGCATGTCAAGAGGAGTACAGGCTGGATCACGATACACTCTGTCGGCTATCATTCCGATTGTCTCGTCCACAGGTACGTTGGTAAACAGCGATTCTACGTCCAACGAGGCTCTTATCCCTGTGGCCCGTGTGCCCCGCAGTAAGTCCACAAATTCCTTTGGAGACTTCAGGCTGAAGGCGCAAGGAACATAAGGAGTCAGCAGGCCGTTGAGTTGCTTTGCCAGTCTGTACGTGGGTGTGGGTATCTGGCTAATGATTGGCCGAAGTGGGTTTCCAGGCTTGTGCGTCTTGACATTTCCATACGCATATCCAGGTTTATATTCCCCAATGATCTTTGGCAGGTGGAGTCCGCTTGGCGTTTACAGTTTCGTACCTGTGGACGAGACAATCGGAATGATAGCCGACAGAGTGTATCGTGATCCAGCCTGTACTCCTCTTGACATGCCAGAAAGTATTCTGAGGAAACTACTCCAAGCTTGTACTAAAGAGGCACCCTTCTTGAGCCCGGATGGGCACATGTATAAGCAAGTAGATGGGGTCGCCATGGGTTCTCCCCTAGGTGTCCTGTTTGCAAACTTCTACATGGGTACCATCGAGCAAAAAGTCTTAGTCGACATGAACTTGAAACCGGCCATATACTGCAGGTATGTTGACGACATTTTTACACAGGTACCTGATGTCAGACATCTGCAGAAGCTGAAGGAGGCATTTGAGCAGAGTTCCGTGCTGCGTTTCACTTACGAGACGGAAAAGGATGGGAAGCTGCCTTTTCTAGATGTAACAGTCATGGAAAAGGGCGGAGGTTTCCACACTGCAGTCTACACTAAGGAAACAAACATAGGAATGTGCCTAAATGCCAACAGCGACTGCCCTGACAGGTACAAGAGGAGTGTTGTTAACGCATACGTCGACCGTGCTCTCAGCCACAGCTCAGAATGGAAGCAAGTCGACGAAGAACTCTGTAGGGTAAGGCAGGTCCTAGTCAATAACGGCTTCTCCAATGGTTTCATCGAAGACATCATAAGAAGGAAAGTGAAAAGCCATGCAACCTCTGAAGAGACAACTAACACAACACCTATACCCCCTATTAGACTATTTTACAGGAACTTCTTTTCCACAGCTCATAAAACGGAGGAAAGGGTCCTGAAAGATATTGTTAATAGAAACGTTATCCCTACAGACAAAAATCAGAGGATACAACTGACGATTTACTATAAAACCAGAAAAACGGCCAGCCTACTCATGAGAAACTCTCCAGACACAAAACAGAACGCTTTAAAAGAGACTAATGTCGTCTATGCCTTCAAATGCCCACTTGGGGACTGTAAGCTCCAAAAAACCCAGTATATAGGCAAGACAACAACATCTCTTTCTAGGCGTTTAACGATGCATAAGCAACAGGGCTCCATTAAGGAACATATAATCTCTTCCCATAACCAAACCATCGCCAGAGAAATCCTAGTAAACAACACAGAAATCATCGATAGATACAGCGATAGCAGGCGGCTTGACGTTTGCGAGGCACTACACATCAAGAAGTCAACACCAGCAATCAACAGCCAATTATTGCACAACTATATTCTACCCACCTCAAGACTCCGCTCCAATATAGAAGCATCAAGAAATATGGACCAATAGGCTTTCTACAAACACTTCTATTCAATACCCATTGTTTCTGTTCTGTCTTGTGTTGATACTTTTAATACCCTATTAATATCCCCTCCTGTTCTGTCTTGTGTTAATGCCACATCACCCTTCCCACCTCACTCAAATGTAGATATAAAATCAGAGATACGTTCTAATCAGTTGTGTATTTGTGAAGTCTTTGAAAATGTAATAAGTTTTACGAAACGCGCCCGTGTCGCGTCAGACTAGAAATAAAAATGAATTTTGGAGAAGTGATTTTTGATTTACCTCCAACAGTGAAGCGTAATGTACGAAAGATTGAGAAAATTCGTGTTAGAATTATTAATCTTACTTTTTCGGTCATATTTAATAATATATGTCTACAGGAAAGACTGCTACCAAAATATACTAATATATATATATATATATATATATATATATATATATATATATATATATATATATATATATATATATATATATATATATATATATATATATATATAATTTATTTATTATTAGGTAATTACACTTAGGTAATTACACACATATACACACACACACACACACACACACACACACACAGTATAAATATATTAAAAGTAATTCATGTGTAAAGCTTCTCTACTCGTATAGTGACCATATGTTTATAGAAATACATAAATCAAATTAATATTTGTAATGTAGTCATGTTGATTGTAACTTGGTAATACAGTACTGTAAAATATGTATTGACTGGGTAATTATAGCAAATAAATAATAAACTTTAAACCCAAAAGTTTAAATAGTTAAAAGATGATTATTTCTCTATCCTGGACCATTTTCAGCTTAATAGTTGTCGAGGATAGACCCAAATGTCATTACAGTTCTTTTACTTTCTAAGGTGTGGGTTTAGTTTTTATTTGTACCTGAAGTGTTAGTACATTTTTTATAATAAATGTTTAATTATGCAATTTTTTTCATAAACTAGGCAAGCTATGTAGGAGAGCTGGTGATGCTTCTCAACCAAGGTGTTTGGGAGTACCTACATCAAGTATTTGGTGGGGGCCCTGCTTGTACGCGCTTGTACGAGTGTGTTACTTGTCGCGCTGAACTTGATGCCCTCTCACATCGTCAGAGTAGCGAGCTCGAGATGTTTTTCAAACTGAAAAAGATGTTCCAAGAAGAGGAACACCCGAACATTGTAGCAATCTCCATGAGGTGGTTCCGTACGTGGGAGAGCTTTGTGCGAGGACGGGAACAAGAACCACCGGGTCCCATTGATAATTCTTCTATATGTACAAGTAAAACTGGTCAGCCAATGCTCAAGCCAGGTTCAGATTATGCACAGATCTCTGAAGAAATGTGGGACTTTTTTCATGAAACATATGGAGGTGGTCCAGAGTTGTCTGTGATGTATGGTAACCCACATGGTCCGACCAGACGATCAGATCGGGCAGAAGGATCACGCTCAGAAAGTCAGAAGTCAGAGCAGCTTCAGCCAAGTTCCCGGTCACAAAGTACGGATACGCTTCCATACAGTGGTACTGGTGCAAATCGACAAAGAACCATTTCTGCTGGTGAGGTGAGGAAAATATTACTAGTCAATAAATCTTTAAGTAAAGAAAAGCAAGTTTTCTATTAGTTATGATCTTTGAAACTGAGTTTGAGATATACACAGTATAATGTCACTTGTATTTACAGTATTAACTAAACTAAATTAATCTAAATAAGTTTTGCATCTGTTATGATCAGTGGAATTGATATTTGAGATGTATCCTCACTCTTATATTCCTAAACATTTCTGTAAACAGTGCAAACTATGAAGAATGTTAAATATTTTTGCAGATAATTTGATAGATCCTAGCAATAAAAAGTATTATATTATTATTATTATTATTACAATATCCCTAAATATCTCATCCAATCTTAGTTAAACATATCATCATTGTTTTGTATTCATAATAGCTGATCCTTAGATCAGATTTGATGCATAACGACAGTGTTTTAGTCTTCAGAGTGTTTATTTATTATGGTAGGTTATCTTGAGATGATTTTGGGGTTTAGCGTCCCTGCGGCCAGGTCTTCGACCAGGCCTCCTTTTTGTTACACACATCCCCAGGAAGCACCCCGTAGCAGCTGTCTAACTACCAGGTACCTATTTTACTGCTATGTGAACTGGATCATTAGGATGAAAGAAACTCTACCCATTTGTTTCCACCTCTGCCGGGGGATTGAACCCGCAACCTTAGGACTATGAATCCCGAGCGCTGTCCACTCAGCCATCTCGGTTATTGACAATTACTCTTATTTATCTTTTTCAATTTGATTTTATATAGAATAGTTCTTAAAATAGGGCAAGTTGCTCACAGTTGCAGTTCGTAGGATAGCATTAACAAGGCAATACATTTTTTAGGTTAGGAGTCGCTGCTGCAGTAAATGGGAAGGTACATATCTGTTATTGAACATGATCTTTGAGAAGCAGTTGTGAAGATAGGATGATGAGGATGTGTGTTAGGTATAGTTCATTCTGTTTAATTAATAATTAAATACAATGTAACTATTGATTTCTCCAAGAGACTTCATTTGAACATGGATTAAATCGGTCATAAGTTTAGTGCACCTTTTTCTCACATTCACCTGGAAATGCAACCAGGAGCCCTGGTCGACAACCGGGCTGCGGAGACGCTAAGCCCCGGAAGCACCTCAAGGTAACCTCAAGGTAAGGGAATAGAGCACAGTAGGCACGGGCTAGTACATAGGATTACTCATCTGGACAGCTGCATACTTCCTATGCAAGAACAGGATTTGTTTACGACATGTGGGATAAAGTAGATAGGTTCCATGGCAATCTGGGACTCTCCTTCCACATAAAGCTATATGGAACTCGCTTCCCACATAAAGCTGTACAGTATATAATAATCAGTGCACCAAGGAGAGATTAGTCTAACAACACTTTCCAAACTAGCTAAAGTGAATTTGCTATTAATTTTTAGTAGTAAAAGCCCCTAAGTTTCATTTTTTTTTTAACCTCATAATACTGTATTTGATTGCTTCTTGGTGCTTGCATAGACTTCCGTATGAAGCTCCTTCAGCCTGTTGATGTAACACAACACTACAATACCATGCAGCTGTCAAGAGCCACCACCACTTCATAATTTTTCTTCACATCAATAGAAACTAACTGGTTGTTACTCATCATGATGGCAATATGAGCATTTGGATAAACTTCCAAGCAGGAAGGCATAAAACTTCATGAAATGTACGTAAAATGTGGAGCAACCACTTTAATATCTGCATGTGTTGAGCTGTAAGCAATTACTTGTAGCTTGGCTCAGCCTGCACAGGATGCCTTATAGGGTTTTGTTACATTTGGATATGCACAATACATGTTCCAGATGGCAAACCACTATCTTGAAGGTGAAATGCCATGTGTGAAAATTATGGTATAAAAGAAGTAAACATGGAGTAGGTAATTTGCAAGCTATGAATGCTGCATACTAGCCAGTGCCTACTGTACAAATTTGTTTACTAATTATAAGCAGATTATAAGTGGGGATGTTTATTAACATTTTATATTTTCTACACCCTCTTCTGTAGGTTATGAGGATGGCTCCGACACACTGCTCAAAGGTCAATGAAAGTGAGAGCTTGCCTGAGGCAAAGTCAGCTGACAGGACGGAAGAAATCAGAAAAGACGATAATGAACCGAGACAGACAAGCCCTATAGAAGAGGCATCAAGTACAAATATTTCCATCGTACAGCAAAATCCGGGGCACAAGTCATCAAATCACTCTCTGGAGAGACAGTGAATATAATTAAAAAATTTATGGAACAACTTCTGGTAATATTTTATTATCTAGGAACTTTCAGCATTTCTATATAATAAAAATTTAAGGTATTACAAGGATGCACTATTTACATATATTTAAATAGTTGTGTTCAATATGCATAAGGACTTACAGAGTTTATTTTTCTCAGTATACAAGGATAGCAAGGAATGTGTTGAAAATTCTAGATTTGTTCATATTTGAAAATCATCTGATTAAATCTTCTGTTAGTCTGTTAGTAAGATTTATTCTGTATATGAAAGAGATGTATTAATTTTTGTCTTACTCTATTTTATATATATTGTGATAATTACATAAGTCAGGAAGCACCACTACTGTAGAAGCTAATGCTGTAGTGGAAATTAATGCTGCTGCTGATGTTGAAGTCAGGATGAAATACCTCTATTGCGTGAAATTTTGTAGTGGAATGAAACATTACAACTGTACAAATACTGTACTGTAGTGGGGTGTAGCAGCCTTACTTTACAAATGTTGTAGTGGGGTGTACCAACACTCTTGTATAAATGCTGTACAGTACTTAGCGTGAGAAGTCACTACTGTGTAAATGCTGTAAGTGTAATAAAACTATAAATACTGTAGCAAGGTGTACCACTACTGTATAAACATGTCGTTGGCATGAAATACCATCTCTGTATAAATGCTATAGTGGGATGTTATACTACTGCTGTATAAGACACTGTACATCATTGGGTGGCATCTTTCCCTTTCTGCGGATCAAGAAAATTGACATTGATGATTGGAGTAGTACATTAATGCTAGCGTACTTGTTAGTGATAATTTAAAAGATACAGTATTTGTAAATTGTTTTCTCAGAAAAAATGTTTGTAGACAGTGTGATATGATGAATGTAATTTGTGTTAACCTGAGGACCTATACTTGATCAATGGTGGCAAATGTTCCAAGAGTGTTACCATTGAAAGTATGGCATTTTCCAAGATATTTTTATGTTCCTTTAAAGGGATTATTTTTTCAGGGGTGTGTGAAGACCTGGTTATCCAGTTGCAATATATAAATTAGTTAAGGAATTGTCTCGCCTCCTAACGTGACACTTTTTGAAGCATAGTGCCGATTTGGACACATGTTGCTAATGCACTTATTTATTCATCACGTGTAAATGAGATAGCTTTATTGTCCAATTTCTAAATTAATATATGACGTAATTTGGCACCCATTGGTTTGTATAATATTAAATGATGGCACGAATACACACACAAATTAAAAGCAGATATTACAGAAAACATATTATTTACCCTTATAAGACTAAATACATTGATCTTTATATTATTATTGTTGTTGTTACTGTATTAATATAATTACTAGTCTAAGATTTGAGGAAATGTTTGTCTTTGTTTTTCTTTACATTATTATAAAAGTTTTCTGTAAAGCTATCTGAGGTGATGTTTAAAGTTTTTTTAATATAGTTTATAACATCTTCATCACCAAATATAGGGATAGAAAAGCACATTTAGACTTAGACATTATGGAATTGTTAACAGGAGAAAACTTTGACAAGCTGCCAGCTTTGTGTCCCCATTGTGGCCACTATAGACAGTGAAGCCGAATCGGCCGTGCGGACAGCACGCTGGACTTGTGATCCTGTGGTCCTAGGTTCGATCCCAGGTGCCAGCGAGAAACAATGGGCAGAGTTTCTTTCACCCTATGCCCCTGTTACCTAGCAGTAAAATAGGTACCTGGGAGCAGGCGACGAGTCACAATAACGTGGCTGAAGTATGTTGACCAGACCACACACTAGAAGTTGAAGGGACGACGACGTTTCGGTCCGTCCTGGACCATTCTCAAGTCGATTGTGATTGTGTCGATCATTCTCACAATCGACTTGAGAATGGTCCAGGACGGACCGAAACGTCATCGTCCCTTCAACTTCTAGTGTGTGGTCTGGTCAACAGGTACCTGGGTGTTAGTCAGCTGTCACGGGCTGCATCCTGGGGATGGAGGCCTGGTCGAAGATCGGGCCGCGGGGACACTAAAGCCCCGACATCATCTCAAGATGACCTCAAGATAACTACAGGGAGATACCAGCAAGCTTTAACTAAGCACATCAGGCCTGAGACCCATCTATCACACAACAGAAGCCAGGACCAGAATCTGGCTCACTATGAAGCAAGGGAAGCATGGTGGATCAGAGATAAACCTAAGATGGGGGAAAATTCACCAGAAATCACAGGCACAATAAAACAAGTCAGTGCATGAAGGAAATTATGTATCAAAGATAAACAAGGCAAATGATCGTTGCCACAATTTACATGTCTAATATTGATGCTCCTCACCACCCACAACCCTCCAAGGCCCAACACAAATTGATATTTGTATACGTTTATGTAATGTACCAATGTAACGTACATTTGTTACGTTGTTGGGGTGATTAGATAAACATTGTTTAGTGAGTTTCATATTTATTTAGTAGTCTTGGATACAGCAGTGTCGTAGACGTTGAGACGAAGCCTGGAGCAGAGCAGAGAGCTGAGTGAGGCCAGAGTCGTGGAGCTCTATGTGGGAGAGCGTGGCGGCTCAATTAGGAATTGAGTGTCTGAACTCGAGGAGCGAGAGCGTGGCGGCTCGATGTGGAATTCATAAAATCGGTAGGGAAGGAAATCTTCCTTACCGATTTTATTTTATCCCGAGACCTTGTTCTTAAAGTTCCAGGTCTCTGGAAATCTTCCCTATCGATTTTATCAATTCCTGTTACAAAATAGTAACAGGAATTGATAAAATCGATAGGGAAGATTTCCTGAGACCTGGAACTTTAAGAACAAGAGGTCATAGATTTAAACTAGCTAAACACAGATGCCGAAGATATATAAGAAAATTCACTTTCACAAACAGAGTGGTAGACGGTTGGAACAAGTTAGGTGAGAAGGTGGTGGAGGCCAAGACCGTCAGTAGTTTCAAAGCGTTGTATGACAAAGAGTGCTGGGAAAATGGGACACCATGAGCGTAGCTCTCATCCTGTAACTACACTTAGGTAATTACAAGGAAGAGAAGGGGCCCAGGGGCAGAGCCAAGAACCCCACCAAGTACCCGAAAGAAGAGAGGCACCAACAACAACCAAGACACTTCCTTAAACAAATTGTCCCAAGCAGCCAGAAGATTGAGCAAAGTCCCAGCAGTGATCAGCAAGCTGAACTATCTCCAGCCCTTACGCCAAAACCCCCAAACTGTCCTGGGGACCATACTGGAGAAAGTGCAAAGAGGCCAGGCACTCCATCTGAGGAAGGGTGTTAGTAAAGACACCAGAGAGGAGTAGTATGGGGAACCAATGTCGCCAGAGAGGAGGAGTATGGGGCACCAATGTCGCCAGAGAGGAGGTGGAAGCAAAACCAGCTAAAACAGACATAGCAACCAGTGCCCCATGACTTGGGGGGGGGGGGGTGGTTCTGCCCAGTCATGGCCAAGAGGAAAGCTGACAAGACCTGAACAACAAAGAAGTACTAGATAATAGACCCCTGAACAACAAAGAAGCACAGGATGACAGGCCTTGGAACAACAAAGAAGCACAGGATGACAGGCCCTGAACAACAAAGAAACACAGGATGACAGGCCCTGAACAACAAAGAAGCACAAGATGACAGGCCCTGGAACAACAAAGTGGTACAAAATGATGTAATAACCACTCCTGCAACACCCCTTCTCACTTAACTCCCCAGCTTAACATTGCTTGCAAGCTCACTGTGACCCTCACTGAACTGCCAGCTAATATTAAAACTGAAATATTAGATGGGGGGAAGCAGCAAACATAGAAGGGTTATTAATTTTAAATAATGAATAAAAAACTTAAATGTACACTGCCACCACCTTCCCGACCTGAATGTACCTGTATTGCTGATCTCCCAGGAAGGACAGAAATCAATAATCATGAACTCGGAGGGTGTAGGAATCTTGGTAAAAATGCTTGGGGGATTAATTATCAAAATCTTTACTTTACTTATTGAGGATTCAAGGGCAACTTTAATATCTCTGAAATGGATGAAAACACACTGGGATTTCTAGTACAGCACATAAAAACCACATATAAAAATGACTGCATTAATAAAAAAAAGGGGGAGCAGATAACTAAACCACAAAATACATTAATAGAACTTTATTTAATAAATGACACGTTTACTAAAAAAAATGGAAATATATCCTACTCTAAATATCCCTAAGAGGCAATATAACTGGAGTACAATTACTTTGATGTACCAAAACTCAGACAGACATTACCTTACTCCTGCAATAGTGGCCACAGATGTTGATAAAAGTTCTGATAAAAGCGTCGGTAGTACGCACACATACCGATAAACCTTTGAACATCCTTTTTAGACCAGAGCACTGGATACTCCAGAATGGCACTGATTTTATCTTGCCGAGGTAACACTTTTCCTTGGCCCACTTCATAACCGAGGTACGTCATTGTGCCTCTGCCAAAATGACACTTTTTTGCATTTAAGGTTAGATTTGCACTTTTCAAAACTATGAACAACTGGCGTAACCTAGCTATGTGGTCAGCCCAATTTCTATCAAAAAGCACAATGTCATCTAAATACGCCCGACAATTTGACACATTTGCGAGCTGAGAGTTCATTAGCCTCTGGAACATTGCAGGGGCATTACACAAACTGAACGGTAACATTTGATACTCAAAGACACCATCGGGTGTTACGAACGCAGTTAGTTGCTTGGCACGTTCGGTGAGTGGGATCTGATAATATCCCCTCGAGAGATCGAATTTCGAGACGTACGTGGTGTTCCCGAACTCGTCAATGCAGTCTTCTAGGAGGGGCAGCGGATTGGCATCCACAATGGTCACCTTGTTGAGCTGCCGATAGTTGGTGCATAATCGCCAGGAGCCGTCTGGTTTGGGGACCAAAAGGCAGGGCGAGCACAAAGAGCCCTGGCTCGGCCGGATGAGGCCATGCTGGAGCAGAAAGTTGACTTCGTTCTGCCCTAAGCCTATTTTTCCAGACTCATCCGATAGAGTTGAAGACGAATGGGGGTGTAGTCCGTCAACTTGACATCATGGTAGATGGCATCAGTCAGGGCCGGGACCTCCCCGAAAAGACTGGAGAATTCGTCAAGGAACGACTGCACCTCTTCATGTTGGGCCATATGCAAATGGGATAATCTCTCCTCCACAGCATTCACAGAACTAGAATTATTAAATATGAGATTAATTGGGTCCCCAGAACAATCATCCCCTCCCTCACTGGAAATGGAAACATTGGTTAGAGCGACGGGCCAGGAGCCCTGGAACGTCTTCAGATGGTTCAAGTGTACAAGCATCATCTAGTTACGCTTGTCAGAGTGCCTTACTTTGTACGTGAGGTCCCCAACCTTTTTTGTCACAATATAGGGGCCTTCGTACTTGTGGGACATAGTGTTCCCGAGTCGAGGCTTTAATACCAGGACAGGGTCACCAGGCTGAAATACCCGCAACTTAGCCTTAGCATCGTGTCGTTCTTTCATATTTTCTTGGGCCTTCCCAAGATACTTTAGTGCAGCCAGCCGCCTTGCAGTCACTGAGTCTCTGGTGGTGTTGTGCAAAGAACGTCGAACCTTCGGTCAAAGAAGTCACATTCCCTAAAGATTCTCCTGTAACATTTGCAAGGGTCCACGAACCTTATGGGCAAAGACTAACTTAAAAAGGAGAACAACCCAGTGAACTTTGTTCCCCCTTTCGAGCAGCAAAAAAAACATAAGGCAGGTTCTCATCCCAAAATTCGTGGGAATTCTCGCACATCTTCAACATCTGCTTAAGTGTTTGATGGAACCGCTCAATTACCCCCTGAGTCTGTGGATGGTATGGGCTAGAAACCTTATGAGTTATTCCATGGTCCTTACAGAATTGTTAAAAAATGTCAGACTTAAAATTAGTACCATTGTCGGTTTGCACGACCCGAGACAGTCCAAAAGTAGAAAAAAATTACAACAAATGAGCAACAACAGTCTTTGCTCGGATGTTCCTTACAGCAAAAGCCTCAGGGTAACGGGTCGTGCTACACATCATGGTTATCAGGTAAATATTTCCAGACTTAGTTCTAGGTAATGGACCAACACAGTCCATTACCACATGAGAAAATGATTCCTCCGGCACGACAATAGGCCTTAGAGGAGCTTTAGGTGGTGTCTTGTTTGGTTTCCCATCAAGCTGACAAGGGATACACGAGTTACCAAATTTTGCCACATCGCTTTTCAGCTTGGGCCAATAGAAATATTTAAAGATTTTTTGATAAGTA